CCCCTAAGAGGGTTAAGCTCACCTTGTTTATATTTGTGTTTACTATATGTTTACTTGCTTGTATATTTGTATATATTTATACATATATCTGTCTGTTCCTGGGTTTTTCTGTATGCAGGGTTGTTACTTTGAGTGGTGAGGATAAGTCATATACCCGGACTTAAGTGCACCTTGTAACACCCCCTTCTATACCCCCAAATAACAATAACACAATTACGCACGTATTCAAAATTTCAGCAGAGTAATATTTAATTCATGGTATAAAAGAGATATGTCACATCATACACCAAGACACACAATACCTACTCAATAAAAGACATGTAACATTGGGGTAGTTTTCAACAGAGAAACTTCGTCCTTACACCCACATCTCAATATTTAGAATTAAAGCAGAAAATCTAAACATTGAATCACTTTAAACATATAATCATATATATACATATCATCAGGTTTGATTCACAATATCATTCATGTTTACAAAACATCTGCCCACAGATACATATACAAACCGTATCCCAAAAGAATGCTATACAAGCCTAACTACCCGGTGCTACATATCAGAGCGACCAGACCAAAATAATGAAGCTATACTTCACAAAAAGGACCTCCAGCAATCCTAACCTGTAATGCCTCATAGAGCATTAAAAACAACAGAAGCGTGAGAAATATTATCATAATAATCAATGCATATAATCATATATACATATAAACATAACAATATATATATATATATATATATATATATATATATATATATATATATATATATATATATATATATATATATATATATATATATATATATATATATATATATATATATATATATATATATATATATATATATATATATATATATATATTTCATATTTCTCACCACACTTCATCACAATCATCATATGCATCACAATATATACATAAACCAGTAATGGATAACCACCAAACATGTTTCATCAATGTGCGCATCCATAATTCTCGACTCAATCATTCATACACAACCATTCTCTCCTATCACGAATCACTTCCATACCATGTGGTTTATACAACTCGTCACTCTCATAATTCTCTATTCGAGACTATGGTACATCGCTCGTACCCCACCAGGAACAACCTCTCGGTTATTCTACCCCGGTGTTTACATTACTAGGAACAACACATAGTCATTCTACCCCAGTAACTACTCCACTAGGAACGATATCAAATCATTCTACCCCAGTGAGTTTCACATTCATACCTCACTAGGAACGACATCAAGTCATTCTACCCCAATGAGTCTCACACTAGGAACGACATCAAGTCATTCTACCCTAATGATCTTGCCACTAGGAATGATATCTCGTCATTCTACCCTAATGCGTACCTCACCGACCTCACCTCTATCACACAATGCACACATATTCACAATATGTTCCCATGCATTCACAATATCGCGTCAATAGCAACGAATTCAATTATATTCCTCATGCATTTAATCAATTCAAATAATGCAACATAATCGCCAACGGCCACAATTCATAATTCATCTCACCATTTAAGATTCACGCCATACGGCTACCCACAACACATCACAACAGCATAACTAATCAATTCCAACAAGGATTGAATACAACTGAACCACACAATCAACATTAGATGGAACCTCAAGGAAAACCAAATGTTGTTACGTTCGCTGGCTCGCCTAGTGAGCACCTAGCGAACGTTCGCCATCTGTTCGCCACAGCGAACAAGCTCGCAAACACAAACAGAAGCCACTGGAAGGCTTCGCTACCAGTTTGCCACAGCGAGGCCCTAGCGAGCAACTCGCTACCAGCGAGGAGGTCCAAATCCATTATGTCTCAAGTCTGTGACCGTTCGCCGCAGGCTCGCTAGGCGAGGACCTAGCGAACGTTCACGACTTGCTCGCCTAGCGAACAAGCTAGCGAGTGTCTGCGAACACCAAACTCCAAACTGTCCAGAATTCATCTGGAGCTCCCAATTCACCTGATTCCAACCAAACTCATTCCAGTAGACTTAGCTTAACATATCTCGACTAATCTACATCATCCCTTCCATATTCTAATCGATAAAACTCAGTTTCTACCGATTAAACTCATTTCGACCTAAAATGAGAAAATGGAGAAAACATCCAAACGACTCATACAATTCCATACACAATCATATACATTAACAAGATGATGATATTTCACACCCTTACCTTGATGAAATCGATAGCCAAGAGTTGTTCTTGATCTTTCCAAGCTTTTCCTTCTTTTTCCTTCTACTTTCTCTTCTTCCTCCACTTTCTTTTCATGTTTTCTATTTTACATATTCGTTCCGCTTCCCTTCATATATCCTTCCCTTCGGTTTCTCTCCAATTTATTTCGTCTCTCAAAATGTTTACTAATTCATTTTCTCATAAAGTATCCCGTCTCATTCTTAATTAGAGAATATCTAGTAAGTCCACATTATTCTACTAAATAGAATAAATTAGTTAAATCCAATAATTCACTTAAATCATATAAACCAATTAACTAGTACCATTAATCAGCTAATGAAAATTGGGTTGTTACACACCTATGATAGGAAGGTGGTATATTCAAGAAGGCTTATAGGGAGTTGATTCCCGACCAAGCTGACTTGAGAAACCACCGCTCAGTGGAGGCCCTCTTAGGAGTAGTTTTGTTGAACGAGTATTCGTGAAAACATTACTACTTTCAACCTAGGAGCCTGTGACACTGAGGACTTTTAGTTACCTTTTACCCCCACTTGACCTTTTAGGACATAGTGCGATGACTATGAGGGAGTATTCCCGAATTAGTTAATACGCGATACTACACTTGGACGAGGCTCTCTTGAGAATATTATCGACTACCGAGTGATTTGGGAAATTGATAATATTCGAAAGATGGGTTGTTGACTTTGAGAACCTTTTAGAACCCTGTTTTGCAGATTTGAGAACCCCCTAGTACACACCATGTGGTTGGTTCTTTACCCATACCTCATGCTGTGATATCGAACATTTGATCCTGTTATGTGTATTTTGCATCATGTCTTGCATCGCATTGCATTGTATTTGTATCTTTGCATGGTTCATTGCATACCATCTGTTTGTCCAGTCGCTCATCTCCAGTTGCCTTCATCTTCTAGTGTACCTGTGAGTCGTCAAGCTGATTCCTCGACACCGATATCGGACTAGAGCTAACTATAGACGAAGAATATCAGAGCAGGAGGTATATAATGCAGAAATCCGAATGGAGATCGGTGAGTTGAAATCAGGCATGACTAAACTCACTGAGATGCTTCAAGTCTTGATGGCCAGAGGAAACTCTCAAAGGACCTTCATTCAGGAAGTTTCAAATGTTGATCCTCCTCCTGTTCAGATGCCACCATCTACTTGGCCAGAGTTTGGTTTACCTCCCGACTAATCTCCACCTCTTGCATCTACGACTATGTTTGGTCAGACTGTCAGACCAATTTTTCAAGCTCCCATCTTTGTTGAGAGCCCAGACCTGTGGTCCACAGTGTTAACCAGACTGTCCGAGCTCCCTTTGAGAATCCTCTTTATGAGTACAATGCTGCCAGTTGCTCAAGGTGAAGACCATGAAGATTTTGTTGAGCCTGAGATTGTCCGTGAACAGTTTCAGAACATAGACAAGAGACTCAAAGCCGTCGAGGGTACTGACTTCTTCAACGTTGATGCAGACAATATGTGCCTAGTTTCTGGTCTTGTTATGCCTGCAAAGTTCAAGACTCCCGAGTTTGTGAAGTATAAAGGTCACTCATGTCCAAGAGCCCATCTGGTAATGTACTTCCGAAGGATGACAGCTTACACTAACAATCAGAAGTTGCTCATTCACTGCTTTCAAGATAGCTTGAGTGGTGCTTATCTCAAGTGGTATATGAACTTAGAGCATAACAACGTCCACTGCTTTCAGGATCTTGCCAATGCTTTTATGAGGCAATACAAATACAATTTGGATATGGCTCCTGATCACCGTCAACTTCAAAATATGTCTCAGGGCGAAAGAGAGTCATTCAAAGAATACACTCAACGTTGGAGAGAGTTAACTTCCCAAGTTGAACCCCCTCTAGCAGAGAAGGAGCTAAATGGAATGTTCATGGATACTTTGTCTCCTTTCTATTGGGAAAAGATGATTAGGAGTGTTTCTTCGAGCTTTACATATCTGGTGACCATTGGCCAAAGGTTGGAAGAAGGACTGAAAAATGGTAAGGTGTTCAAAGCTGCTGAATCTTCTAATGGTGCAAAGAAATCCTATGGGAATTTCTAGAAGAAGAGAGAGGATCAGACTAATGCTGTCATGACTGAAGTGAGAAGGCCTCGCCCTAGACCTCAGTTTGTTGATCATCATGTTGTTGTTGTTGTTGCTACTCCACGACCAACTCAGATTCCTCAACGTCCAGCTGTTGGACAGAACCAGTATAGGAATAGGAATCACTTCGAACCTATTCCCATAACATATACAGAACT